GCAAAACTAATCAGAGAAGAGTCACAAAGGTAGTTATGTGTAAAGAAACTCGTTTTCGATATTTTAATATAGATATCAGAATATGTGAATTTCCATTTTCGACAGCGATTATGTCTTATCGATAAATCTTTTGCCCAGATAACGGTTCTCCTCGATTTTTATTCCATACTGAGCAACGATAATCTCTATCATTCATAAGAAGGAGACATTTTAAATCAAGATAAGGATGCTATTGGTTCCATATAAAGCAGAGAAAAAAAAACGGAAGTAATGTTAGGCCGCTTCGTTCCATGCTCCCACCTATCAAATTAAGGGAGACGCTGCTGACTACGATCCCCCGTTGTAAATTGAATAACACCTTATCTTAACATGCACATGATATTCATTGACATTTTACATGTTCTCTACTGAACATACGTAAAGAATGAAAATGAAGATTTTATAGTCACACGGATATGTTTGATTTCCAACATCTGTTAAACTTCATTATCGGTCATCTCTACGTGTAAATGATTTGCACATCATATAAATACAAAAGCACCGCATATAAAGAAGTTTGCACATCATATAAGAACAAAAGCACCGCAAATAAAGAAGTTTGTACATCATATAATAAAAGTTGTCATCTTAAGACAACTGTGGCTTTCCATAGTTCTTTCCCTGAAATGTCCCGTATAGCCTGAAAGAAATACCAGCTATTATAATGTAAATTCAATGGAACCAATAAATAACGAGAATATTTAACCACATCATCACTTTCCTTGTCCGGTACAGTTTTACTTTTGATGTTCAAAACACCTCAGCTCACTAGATGTAGTATTGCGCATGCTCATGCATTCAAATTCAGCGAAGAAAACTCGATGAATTGCTGGACCTAATGAGATGACGGTAGTATGTTTAATTAATATGTTGTGTGACAGATAGAGTTTGCAGTTATTAAAATGTACATGTATCTTTTTTGTAAGCCCAACCAGCAAGTACTTCATTTCTTAAACAAAAAAATAAAAAATAAAAATAAAATCAGCCTCCGATCACCACGATGAAAAAAGATTTTAAAAAAATGACAGAGGGTCCTCAAATAATGGTAGCACAAAGGATTTTTCATGTAAAAATAAAACATTATTTCACATTCGAGTAATCTCTTAATGTATGATTTGCTTTCAAGAATGATCAGGCAGTCATGCACATATATGAATCTAGCTTGTTCATCTAAAAACAAAACAGCTTCATAAGTCAGGCGGTCCCTGCTTTAATGTCACTTTTATGCATTACTAGCTATACAGCATTCACGCAGGACTTTGGTGTTACAAGGTACGACCCAGAAAAACCATATACTAATAACAAGTTCTTGTTGTGACCGTGCATGGGTGAACTTTTATGAAAAACTCAATTCCATGGAGTAAAATAACATAAATAATTACATGCATTGCAGATTTTAAAATACAAATATAAGCATCAATTCAAGTCGAATACTTGTTAAAGTTGAAATTTGGTATCTGACTCGGCACGAAATTCCAATGTATTATTTACATGGTTGTTATTTAAAAAATTAAATAAGTACATGAATTCAAGTTTAATACATTTAAAACGGTAGTTGAAACACCGTGAGAAATTTGAAATCGGAGTCTATAGCCAAAAGTGGCATCAAAAATACACTGAACGAGACTTACAGAGATATATTCTACCTATTACTGACACGGGTTTTAATTTCACCCTTTCTGCTAAAAGGAGCAAACACGTTTTTGAGCAAGCCAGGGGCGGACAGATGGAGTGGGGAGGCAGAAAATGAGGACACACCCAACCCCAAAAGGCGAGCGCCAAACCCATCGTCTACCTACTTATCCGCCACCACCAACTTATTTCTTAGTTATTAATTTTTTGTTCAAAGGCGAGCAGATTCAACTAGTGTTTGGTGTTGATTATGTATCATTATTAACATTAATTATTCTTGAAACAGATTGTTTGTTTGGGGATTTGGGGTTGGGGTATCTTTGCTTTATTTTGTTTTGTGCTTGGGGGTTGGGGAGGCGCAGGGTATTCTTTTTTAATCTTGTTGCATGAAACACAGTTCAGTTCAATTCTAAAAATGACTCAATGTGATGTGCGTAATTCGTACTCAGTAATGGGCTACTGGGAGAACTTCATTATCAGTCTTTTTTTGAAAGGGATTCTATGAAAGAAATGGGATCAGCATATGTCTTTTTTAATGCCGTAAATTTTGTACGTCTGTACAAATTCATTGTACTCACCTATTCGGCAATTACTGTCAATTTCACTGCCTGTAATAATAATAATAATAATAATAATAATAATAATAATAATAATAATAATAATAATAATAATAATAATAATAATAATAATAATAATAATAACAGCGATCGTTATCATCATGATGACGATAATGATGAAAATAACGATGTTCATAATGAGCTTTAAAACGTACTTAACGTAAATTCATCGAAAAAACAAATGGTCAAAGGGAGAAGACGACTTAAAGACAGGTTTATGGAACTATTTGGTTCATTGTCCTGTTTGGTCCACCCTTTATACAATAGGGATGCTTTCACTTTTCTTGGAATGAGAAATAAAATGAGAAGTCAAAAATGAATGACGCAATTAAATACAGCGAAAAGACTAACATGTATATCGTAATAAAGGATAGCTGTAAAACAAAATTGAGTAACATAATTAGAGAACAGAGGACAATTCAAGACTAATCACGTGATGGAAAGGATAGTAAATCTTTGCCTGTTACCTAAATATGTGCATCTCTGGTCTGAAATAATAATAATAATAATAATAATAATAATAATAATAATAATAATAATAATAATAATAATAATAATAATAATAATAATAATAATAATAATAAACATTAATAATAATAATAATAATAATAATAATAATAATAATAATAATAATAATAATAATAAACATCAATAATAATAAACATCAATAATAATAATAATAATAATAATAATAATAATAATAATAATAATAATAACGATCAACATTATCATCGATATAATAATCATTAAGAGGCGTTGAAAAATATATTTAAAAAATGAAAAAGAAAAAGCGATTTGGCTGTTGAAAGACATGGTAGAAATTGTATTGAGTAGACTTTTTCGTTATTATACAGTAGAACATAAACATTATGTATATTCTATTGATGAACTTTACCGTACAACATTCTAAGGTACAAAATTATCTCCCTTGACTTGCACCTTCAGTGAAAGCCAAAACGCAAACAAAGAAACAACAAAAAAAAAATAAAATAAATAAAAAAATAAAAGCAACTTACTAACACATCGACGTAAAATTAGGCAAACAGTTGGTCAGGCAAATATACAGAAAAATCAAAAATATACGGTTAGGAATTTAGAAGAAATACTACCATAAAGTTATTATTTTATTTTTAAATAAATTAAATGACTTGTGGTTATAATTAGGAAAACGTGCAAGTTTAGGAAAAGTATATCACAGAAATGAATTTTAATGATAGCCATATCTACTGATCTCGCTACAATAAAATTGCAGGAGAGAGAGAGAGAAAAAGAGAGATAAAGACAGACAGAGACAGACAGAGAGAGACAGAGAGACCTACTGTGGTGAATCAGATCGTATCCTGCAACGGAAAAGTTTATATATATATATATATATATATATATATATATATATATATATATATATATATATATATATATATATATATATATATATATATATATATATATATACATATATATATATATATATATATATATATATATATATATATATATATATTTATATATATACATATATATATACATATATATATTTATATACTCATATACATATATATATATATATATATTTATATATATATATATATATATATATATATATATATATATATATATATATATATATATATATATATATATATATATATATATGAATATGTGTGTGTCCGTGTGCACAGTTCAGTTATTTCAAGATGTATTATCATAAGAGGCTGAGATTTGTGAAATGAATTAAAAACATTGCTATTTGTTTGAACTGGACGTTAATTTGCATTCTCTCCTAAGGAGGAGAGGGGGATACTGGGAGCGCGTAATTAAAATGGACACATCTTCATTGCAATGTAATTAATATTTCAATTCTTTTTATCAACTCCACTTCAAGAGATTGGTAGAATTACTTGTAGCATTAATCGTGTACGAGTGTGAATGTGTATGCACTATATGAAGCAGTGTTTACCGTGGAAAAGGCGGGCACATATACTCTCTGCTTTTGACAATGTTACGAATCCCAGTAAACCTAGAAAAGAATTTAATTCACGTACACGTTTCTAAAGGGTTTAATGCACGTAATAGCTATTACAGATATGTAGTGCAGTGCCAAGTAAAACTAGGCATATAAAATAAAGATAGACAAAAAAACACTGGGCACAAAAGTGTACAAACATTAAAATACAATGTCAAAATTTTAAATATAAGTGCACTGAATTTAAACGTCTAAAATCATGTCAACTAGAACCATATAACGGAACGTATGCCGAGACCAATTAATTAATTGAAGGCACAGCCATGTGCGTATGATCACTCCAGGTGAGAATTCTTTTTGTTTTCTACTATCAAAACGAACGAACATAACAAGCAACCAAATAAACCAAAAAAGAAGCGTAAGAGTGCTCTCTCTGGATAAACGAAGAAAAAAATAAATATCACGATGATCTCTAAACTCATAATGTTTTCAATTCAGGAAACTTGCTCTTATAGAGGATTACACATCATATCTCTTACCTTTAACTCCCAGTTTTAGCTGGAGATTATTTCATTCATGGTTTAGTAAAAACGTTTCGGAATTACTTATTCCGTTCTAATATTGGTGTTGTTATTAATTTTTAATAACACATTACATAATTTTCCTGTTTAAATGATTTAGTCCCTAAATAGAAGTTTAATACAGGTGAAACGAACCAAATGAGCCTTCGCATATTCCGACTTTATTATGACCGCTCCGGTGGCCTAGTGGTTAGAGCGCCCGCATCGGATGCGGGAGGTCGTGGGTTCAAACACAGGCTGAGTCATACCAAAGACTAAACAACTTCCTCGCTAGACGCTCAGCATTAAGAGGTTAGTGTAAGGTCTAGTCGGCTTAGTATCAGGATAATGTGACTGGGTTGGCTACATTCTACAGCATGATGCCCCATTGCTAGACATCACTATTAATTATCATATTGTAGACATTGTAGCGATAGGACTGAAACATTGTTAAAGCTATGTTTAAAATATCTCTGTCTGTTTGTCTGTTTTCTGTCTGTCTGTCTGTCTGTCTGTCTCACACACACACACACACACACACACACACCACTTCAACATGACAGAAGGAGAAGGAAAATGGGACAAATACATACCCAAGACATAGCTCAATCCAGTTGGTACTAGCATTGTGGCAACTTCTCTCAGTGTTGTACGGAGTTCTAAGTTGGACTTGAGAGTCAATGACTTGAGAGTAGTAAGTAAAAATTTTAGAGTAGCACGTCAGACTGCAAATGCGAATAAAATTTAAAGTACTACGTCAGAACATAGTGTCTTATCTAAGATAGAATGTCAGAACGTGACTTAGGTATGCTCCTCTAGATAAGGGTCGAGTCACTGCAAAGATTCCTAATCGAAACGTAATTCCAGTGCTTTGGTGCTTTCTTCGGTCAAAAATGTATCATTATGTAAATATACTGCATTTCATACAGCAATTCTTCTTGTTCCATCAAAGCAATCATTGTGGAATGAGTCTTTGAATTTTCTTGATTTCACAATAACCTTCATTTTAACAGCAAGCTACACACAGAAATTGATCAACCTGTTAAACAACAAATTAAAGTTTTCGTGCAAAAATCGTTAATCGTTAGTTAGTTGCGTACCATCCACTCTGGTAAAACTAGTCTATAATTCGAAGTAGGGGTAAAACAAGTCTGTAATTCGAACTATGGGTAAAACAAGTATGTAAAAAGACAGATAGGCCTATCCGTGCAGGTAAGGCGTTCATTGTGTGTTTATTGAGTGAAATTAATGAGATAGTAAACAAACTGATCTTTTTAGTATATATATTCCCTTGATGGAGTCAGTGCCGTTTTAAGGAAATAGGCACGCGAGGCACGTGCCTAGTGCCCCGCGCAGCAAGTGGCTCCGCGGTGGCCCAAAAACAAAATCTCAGTGTCAGTTGTGTTAGCAGGTTAGTACTGTATTAATAAATTTAATAAAATGACACACACACAAACACACACACGCGCGCACACACACACACATACAGACACATGCACATGGAAATGCAATGCAGAACTCTTTATCTGAGACTGGGAGACTGAGGCGCAATTCTGGTTACTTTTACGGTCAGAGTTTGTGCCTAAGGCCCATAAACTTCTTAAAACGTCTTTGGATTGAATTAAAGATATCAGTAAAGATTCTGCGATCACATGATGCATTTCAAACTTCCTTTGCCTATTTTCTGTCTAATTAGCATGTAATATGTCACAACACTAATTATGACCGTATTGGCATGTTTACTTTGTAATCGATGTATATGAATGTGCGATTTCTTTTTGGGGTGGGTGGGTGAGAGGAAAGCGCCAGACTAATTCCCCCTATTTAGTCAAAAAAGCTGAAAAGTATTTCACGTGTTTTTGTTCCCCCGAAATATATGTTGTAATGTAGTTTTTTTATAACATAATTTTGAATCAAATTTTTAATTAATTTAAATTTTGATGGGGTATTTGTTTTGTTCCCTAGAGTTTTATAGGTGTGTTCCTCCAATAAAATTTCAATTATTTTCTCGGGTTCCTTCACCTAGTTTCCGTTTGTGACCTTTGCTAAGGGTTCCCTATATCCTGTGTTTGTTATATGCAGTATGTTATGTTTTTGTGAGTGGTAAGGGTATCTTATAAGGACAGCATTTAAACCAGATTCAGTCTCCCCAAGTTTTTTTTCCCTAGAGTATAATCGTCTATTTATTTATCTAAAGAATAAAAATTATTGTATACTTAGTTTTTGAACTTTGAATCCACTTGAAAGAGAGATGGTGCTTCTAGAAACAAAAAAGAAAAATAAACTTATCATTTCGTGCAAGTATTTAATTAGGTGTCGTCTCTCTTTCTATACTTATATTAATTTTGCATCTTGTAAGGAGCCGAATTCCTTTATTGTTTTTCTATTGCTCCTTAGGACGCCTCTCTATTAAGCTTTCCTATAAAAGAGTCCAAATGTTCTAAAATAAATTTTAAAAAATATTAAAAAAATAAAAAAAAAGGTTAAAAAGGGGGACATTGTTATTTTCTTTTTTAATTGTCCTATTCTCCATTTGTGTGTACTGCTCGTCCATTTCCTATAGAGTTTTCTAAGGCTCTCTCGTTGGTCTGTCCACTTTGCATAGCGCCGTGTGGCTCAGCACCGCGATGTCAACGTCTCGTACTTCGTCCATCAGTAGTTTGCCTGTTCATCTAGAACGAAAAGTTAAAAGAGAAATTAAAATTAATTTCAAAATGTAAAAAAATATATAGAATTAGATAATTTTTTAACAATGTTCCTCATTTAATGAGTATATCATATCCTAAGGTTAATTTCTTTTGAAAAGAGAAAGTTAATAAAAATGTTATGTTTATCTTTTAATTACTATCACGTGACAGCTGGCTTTCATTGTTTCCACAATATGGCTAATTATCTCCGTCAATATTTTATCATCTATTTTAATGTCCAGGTTGAGAAGCATTGCTTGCTTTGTATTGGTCCTATTAACATACCCTCTTTTTGTTCATTAGTTTTACATTTTATTATTACATGAAATTTTGTGTAGCATTCTCCTTTGCACATTGGACATTTGGATATAGTTTGTATCGTATGTCTTCTCTTTGCTGTTTCACCAGTCAGCCGAACATTTTGCATATATTTAAAGATTAAACTTTGAATTTTAAGTGGTTTTATATTGGTCCAGTTAGTTCAGACTAATTCCTAATTTACCCCTTTCCCAACAATTTTCATTTCCAACTTTAGTTCTCACATTCTTGGTTGCTGTTTACCTAATCCAATTATATGTATTTGTTCTATCTGTTTCCCATATCTTTCTTATGTCTCTGAATTGGTGTAAAATGACTCTAATGTAATCAAATCGCTTTGGAGCTACTAATTTCTTTGTTATGGAATTATTTTTATAAATGACTTCCCTTTTCTAATTAAAAAGCCAAACCTCTGTGTTTATATATATATATATATATATATATATATATATATATATATATATATATATATATATATATATATATATATATATATATATATATATATATGCATGCATGCATGCATGCATGCATACATACATACATACATACATACATACATACATACATACATACATACATACATACATACATACATACATACATACATACATACATACATACATACATACATACATACAATTTCTGATAGAATTCCGCCATGAATCCATCTCTTTCTTGTGATTTCCTTTCTTTGTGCTAATTTTGCTATTGTATATCCTATTTAATTTCCGGTGATGAATTCATCACACAAGTCTTTATGTTTTGATGTAATTGTATCACATTTAATATATATATATATATATATATATATATATATATATATATATATATATATATATATATATATATATATATATATATATATATATATATATATATATATATATATATATATATGGATGCATTAATTAGGATTGCTGGTTTTCCATCATGCAAAGTTGAGCGAAGTCTGTAAAGTAACGGTTAATTCATGTAATGTTGTTATTATTAAAACGAGGATATGGCCCATACTGTTCCATCTCTGATATATATATATATATATATATATATATATATATATATATATATATATATATATATATATATATATATATTTATATATATATATATATATATATATATATATATGTATCTGATATATACATATATATATATGTATGTATCTGATATATATATATATATATATATATATATATATATATATATATATATATATATATATATATATATATATATATATATCAGATACATACATATATATATGTATATATCAGATATATATATATATATATATATATATATATATATATATATATCAGATACATACATATATATATGTATATATCATATATATATATATATATATATATATATGTATATATCAGATATATATATATATATATATATATATATATATATATATACACTGTGGACCAAGTCAAAGCATAGATGTCTTTGCAAGATAACAGAATACATTAAGAAAATTATAATCTGAATAAATGTACATCAAGAAAAATGTAATGTCAATATTTCAGTAATGTTGATATTAAGTTTTTGGAAGCTTTTCTTATATGGTTACCGTTTAAAATCATGATACTATGCTAAATAAATTTTTAACAAATCTGTCGTCAATGTTTCCTGATTTTTTTAAAATAAATATTTGAATATACACCTACATGCTGTAGACTAAACTCTTTAATATGTTCCATTCCAATTCCACTACATCAGCATCCACATTTGCACCGACAAGAACTGACCGGAAATGATCCACCCAAATAGGTTTCTGCCTTTCACTTCTAGTGAGGTAGTTGGTAAATGTTACAACCTGTTTATCAATCCTGTCTCTAACATCAACTCCTTTCATATCATCCAGCTAATACATCCATGGAAAATCATTGAATGGTCTTAGGTTCTTTACCGGTTGTCGCCTGAGAGCAACATTGTTCTGGCAGGCGAAATTCGCACGTTTCGGAACATGTAACTTCAGTTTGGTGGAACACAGAAAAGTTAATTATAGCTTGATGAATAGTAAAATATATCAGGAGTAAAATAAGCCATAGATTATGGCCATATGCCTTCCACGACCGAAATAGCAGAAGGTATTATATTTAGATACTAATTGTAATCAAACCGAATATATGCAAGTAATAAGTTTTATTATAAATACAATGAATAGATGTGGCTCAATTTTAAGTGTAAGAAAGTAATTCTTAATCCGCTATAATCTACAGCTGTTTTTTTTTTGTTGGTTTTTTTTT